CTTTCTTTCTTTCTTCTTTCTTTCTTTCTTTCTTTTTGTTTTTTGGTGGAACCAGGAATTGAACTCAGGCCCTTGCGCTTGCCAGGCAAGCGCTTATTCTACTGAGCCACCTCCCTGGCCCCTATTACCTATATTTTGAAAGACAGTAACTTTTCTTGTGGAGAAAGTGCAATTTTTTTCTAATCCATGTAAATTACCATAAGCATTAAAACGTTAAGTTCAATTATAGAAATACTTTGGAGCACTTAGTAATAATCCAATTCTTTAATGAAATCCAGGATATAATAAAATAGTATCATCAGTGTTCTGGAATAAAGCAGCTGTTTTCTTGGCATGTTACTCTCAGAGACTGAAAAGTGTAATTTATTTGATGCAGAAAGTTAAAACCCAATTCTGAAACCGCACAAAAGCATTATAAGAAAGAAAATAAGTAGCCAATTATACATGTTCATTCAGAAACCCATTAAAATTTGAAATCAAACTGAGCCTGGATATATATATAGAGATATAGATATATAGAAAGATACAGATATATAGAGAGAGATAGATATATATCTCACAAACAATTTACATTTTCCTAACAATGCAAGATGTGTTTCACGTTTGAAAAATCCATCCTAATTAACCACAACAAAATAAAGAAAAAGTAATACAACTGGCTTGATGAATGTGGAAAAAATTTAATAAAATTTAACTTCCATTAATGAAATAAAAAAACTTCCAAGTAACTTAGAAGTAGGTTGTATTATTCAAATAAAAGATTGCAAGCATCACACTTGAAATGCGACATATTTTCCATTTAAAATAGGGGTCAGGACAAAATTATTACCTGTAAGCTAATCACACATTGCTCTCAGTGATTGTGAACCTTTCAGAGCTTTCAGTCATAGCAGCAGCCCACTGTGGCCCCAGGGCCACAGGTTCTCCACCAAGGAGACCATGGTTGTCTACCCATTGGCTGTATGGAGTGAAGAGGAACCATCCTGGACCACGTATAAAATACGTAATAGAATACACAAGTGTGTCGTAAAACTCTTTTAACTTACTGAATTATTTTATAAAATAATAAGAAAAAGAAATAATTCAGTTCTGTTCCTTTTTTTTCAAAGTTTTATTGATAAACAGATAGCAATGAGACAGTTTCAAATTCTGTTCCTTTTTTAAAAATTTATTTTAAAATAGTTTTCACTGAAGTATATATTGATGACAAATGAAGGGGTAAGAGCCGAAACACAGCAACCTTCAGTCTGAGTCCCACTCACACACTGACAAGCAAGGTTGTGACCTTGGCCCAGAGACTCCATCTCCTTGAGTCTTAGTTTCCTCATCTCTAACCTTTGAACACAGGTATAAGAGTTAGAGATAATGTAACCAAAGTGCTCGTCTCCTCATACACAGACCCTAAACGGTAGTAATCATCATTATCTTCAAAATATATTATGTATAAAAAGACATAAATTATAAGCAATAAGTTAAGTTATTCATAGAATACTCTGCTAAATATTATTTAGCAGAGTATCTGGACAATGTTGTTTTCTAAAAAAAAAAAAAAAACAAGCATTTTGGTTCAGTAGTTTTTCTTCTTTATTTATTTATTTTTTTTTTCCTGTGGCGTGAGTTGTTTTTAATCTGTTGTGCTGTTACTAAAGTAAAGCTCTGAGAGCTGCAGTTACAAACATTCCAAGTTCTCCCTTCCATCTTTATTGATTCGCAAGATTTTGCACAGAAAACTCTTTGGGGACTAGAACAGCAGTACTTGCATCGCACTGTTTTCAAGACTTCAAGTTTAAAAAGCAAACCGTTTATAAAAAA